ATTATATTTATTATGTGATTATTATTAAATATTTTAATATTTTTTAAATCAAAACGGTCTTGATATTAATTTTTAAAGAAAGTATTGACTATATAATGAAAAAAAAAAAAGTCAACTTTTTAGAGTTCATAGCCTTATAGGAGAAGGACCCTAATAAAAAAATTATTTTTATTCATTAATTAATATTTTATAATACCACGTCATTTAAATTACAAAACTTTTTTTTCATATAATAAAATTATCGACTATCCATTTGTAACAGCTTAAGGTTGCGTGGGCCCTCAAGTCGTGCTGAATTGTTTACGACGCGTTCAGGCTCCTATTCTGACTTTACCTTTACCTTTACTTCCAGGAAAATGCTGAAACCACTCGTTTGAACAATAGGTGGCAGGCGGATTTGGGATTTTGACCAGGACATCAACGTAAGTCAGGTTTGGGACTGTGAAACCTGTCTTTTGGTGAAAGAGTTAGTGTACAAGGGTATCTTGCTGGAAACTTCTTCTTGCTCCTTTTTTCTTTTTCTTTTCTTTTCTTGGTGAATATCTTGCTGGATACTTTGTCACGAAGAATTTTCTGTTCCATATATATCCAAAGTTCTCTATACCCATCTCATTCTCAAAACCTTAACATAAAAACAGCAGTTTCTAGCTTGAAATTTTCACGTTTTATTCATTTGATTGCTTCCTAAAACACATAACTATATTATTTTTACTAAATCTTGCAATATCCAAAAGTCATATTAATTTTAATTAATTTAAAATTAAATTATATCAAATTTTATGAAAAAATAAATTTTTTTTGTATTTATTTTCTTAAAATTCAATTTTAAAATTTTACTTTAAAAAATTAAATTTCTTCCATTTCAATCAATAAATTACTTATTCAATAAGATAATTAAAAGAACAAAATATTGACATTAGTAAAGTTTGAAATTGCAACTCATAGGATGTAATTCCTATTAAACCAAAATACTTTGTCAATCAACGCGTGGGGATGAATCAATAAATCATTAGCAACATATAACCATATTATAACGTTTTTATATTCTTTTCTTTTCTTGATATTGTTTATTTTCTGCTGTCAATATACAATAACGCGTACAAATAGCTAATTGGATTCCATCTCGAGAAATTTATGGGACTAAAGCGCCCCCTGGTCCACCAAGGCTTGAAAAAGATAA